GAAGGAAGGAAGGAAGGAAGGAAGGAAGGAAGGAAGGAAGGAAGGAAGGAAGGAAGGAAGGAAGGAAGGAAGATAGATAATATTTTATCTATATAAGATTTTATCTGTCTGGGGACGCGTGTGTGTGTGCACACACCCACTTTAATTAAGCACCAGTGAATAAAATATAAAACAGTTATATGCAAAAGTTTAGTCACCCCTAGTCAAATTAATATGTTTCAATGAATCCCTAACTGAATAAAAGCTGATGTGATCTTGATATGGTACAAAGGTAGATATGACATTTTCCTGCAAACTTGAATACAAACTTACTTAGTTGTTTAGAGACTGAAAATAAGAAAATAGTGAACATGGCATTTGCTGAAGTTTGGATGCTTCCAGTCAGTACTTTTGTTACACACCCTTTGGCAGAAATAACAGCTTTCAAAATTTCCTGTAGTTTTTCTATAGGAAAGACTTCTCAAGAATCTCCCTATTCTTGCCTTTGGATCTTTTCCCTCCCTCTCTCGTCAAAATCTTCTAGCTCAGAAATATTCTTGGGTCCCCTGAATATACTGCACATTTGAGATTTCCCCCAGGTTCTCCATATAATTCAAGTTTGAGGAATCTCTCTTTTCTACGAAGTATTTTATGGTTAATTTGGATGTATACTTTGGACTGTTACCTTGCTGAAATATCCAATCTTTTGTCAGCTTCAATTTCTTAACTGACAGTAAGACGTTAACTTCTAGAATATGTAAATATTTGAGTCTATTATTCCTTTGACTCACACAATATTTTCTGTGCTGTCACACAAACCCAAATCATGATAAAACCATTCTTGTGCTTAACGGTCGGTATTTTCTGAAAATACTTTTATTTTTTTCTCTAAATGTGACATGTAGTCATTGCTAAACAGTTGCATTTTGTTTCATTAGTACAAAGCACTTTGTTTTGTTCCCAAATGTTTCAGGCTTATCAAGTTCTTTTTTGGGGTGGGGGGTGGGGTGAGGCCAGGAAAAGGTTTCTTTTTGACATCTTTTCTGTGCAGATCACTTTTGTACAAGCAACATTGTACTGCGGTCCAGCAGACTACTTCAGCATCAGCTATACTTTTCAGCAGGTCATTTGCAGTAATCTATGGGTTCCATTTTGCAGATATAACTAGTTTTAGGGCAGTTCTAATGATTTTTCTTGGTCTTCAAGCAAATGAAAAGAGGTTTATTTAGTTGGCCACAGGAAATGTTTTAAGCTGTTATTTCTGGTAGTGGTGTTACAAAGTACTGAGTGGAAGTACTGATCCTAGCTTTTACATCTGCCACATTCACTATTTTATTACTTTGAATCTGTAAATATAAATATTAAAGATGGATTCCAATTTGCAGAAAGATATCATGTTTAACTTGTACAATGTAGAGATTGTGTGAGCTTCTGTTCCTTTAGGAATTAAAACATACAATTCGACTAGAGGTGCCTAATGTTTTGCATATAACTGCATAGAAATATACAATTAATGGACAACAGATTTGACAAAACTGGCACAAAATATATCATTGGAATATGTCCAGATACACCCACATTCTACAAATCCTATCAGAAAAGAGTGAAAATACTAGCATAGGAGCAAAATTTTCTAGTATGTATCTTATTTCTGAAGATGCTCTCCAGATTTGAAGGGTTACAATATGTTTATATATCTATGCCAAGTATTCACTGACATTTTCAATAGAATTACAAAATTTCCTATCATTTACTGTGCCAACTAGTTGTAGTGCAATCCACAAGTTGAACTATCATAAAGTAAAAGAATTCTAGTTCAATTGCCTATCCACTTCCTTCATTACTCCATTTCTTGCTTTCTAATCAATAATGGCAGATCATTTAAAGTATTAGATATAATTTTCCAGTTATCCACATCATGACCTGTTTGCGGATTTGGTCACGCATGAAATGAAATGTACTTCAAAACTTTTACTGATTTTGATGGATCTATTCCAAAGATGATAAAGTTTGAATCAAACCAAATGGATTTAATTAAGTCTAACTGGAAGCTGGAAGACAAGTATCGCTGTTTGGACAAGTATCTCATTTCTCTAGTATAGATCACAGTTCCAAATTAGCTCCAAACATCAGCATTTTTCTCTTTTAAAGTAATGGTACATATATTCCACCATAATAGAATGATGATTTCTGCTGCTATTTTTCCTCATACTTACAGTGGCTAAGCCTGCATAGTTTTAGCTACTTCACAACACTCAGAAACCTCTCAACTTGGCCTTTTATCACATATTGTATTCCAAGGCACCATGCATATCAAAAGTGAGTCAGGCTTAGTATTACAAAAGTAGGAGGACAAAATTTGATATAGGCATGTCCAATTTTTCCAAAAATTGGACATGCCTATATACTAAAGTTCCATTAATATAGTTAGGCTTTGGTTTTTCAGAGAAGGGACAATGGCAAACAAATGTAAAACAAATGTCTGCTGAAAAGCAAATATATTTATTATGCACTTTCATATACATAAGGACTTTTGCTGAATATAATACAAGAAATAAAATAAAAATTTTACAATGTGAAATTCAATGTACATTTTAGGCTATTTACAAACCAGTCCAGGAAAGAAAGTCTCAGCTGTGCACCATGTTATTTGAAGAGTTCCAATGGAGGATATCAAGCATTAACAGACATTTGCATAGCAGCACAGCTGACAAGAGGAAAGGATGCTTTAAGTAAAAGCAAAGCCATTTTCCAATACTGATCATAACAAGATCTATATATGGCACTGCTATACCTTAACATGTCAACATTTTGAAAGATAAGTTAACTATTTGCTTTCCTTTAAAAATGCCTACCTGGGGTCACTTGTGCTACAAGTATTAACATTCACCTGCCCTTTCTCAAACCTCCCAGTTGCAAAGTGTGACAGTTTACTACAGTTCATCTGGGAATGACTTTAGCCAGTATATTGTAGGGAAAATAAAAATTGAAGGTTAAATAAGACAGAGATTTGTGGGCTGAAAATAGAACCCAGGGGTCCTGAATTATACTAAATTATAGCTGATCAGCCCTGTCAAGTCATGGCTTAACAGAACTGAGCCATACCCAAGAACTCACAATAATAATAAAACATAGAATTGTCAGTCTTCCAGGTAATCAATGTTTACCTTTCTCGGAGAGAGGCCACAAAAGCCAATATATTAAAATCATGTATTAAAGCAACGCGAAACAGTCTCACACTCTTGTCAAATGGATAGATTTATAATAATAAAGGCAGGCATGCTGTTTTCCAAATAAGTTCTGAAAATATGCAGGAACTTTTATGTCAATGAATTATCAGAAAGCACTTTCCCTCTGATCTTCTTTTAGTTGATATCTGTGCTTTGGGGATATTCTTTGCCTTACCCCAGCTCCTTCAAATGATAAAATTATTCTGCTGAAAATCACAAAGGCTTCTGCAACACATAGCCTTCTTGTGAGTATGGCCATAAATGTAATTATCAAGTCACAAATACATACTAGAATAAAACAAGTCCAATAAATACAATCTCAGCAGCAGCAGAGATGAGAAAGACAACAATCTTTAGGGATATCTTTTACAGAGTAAAACATTATCTAGTAAGAAACAAGGGCTGTAGTTTTGAATTGTATTACAAATACCCAGTACTTGAAGCTCAGAACAAATTCAAGCCAATGTTTTGTATCCTAAGTCACTTAGTAATATTACTAATCCAGTATTTTACAAGAATCCTATTGGCTTCATAATTATAAGAAGCTAGCAAAATATTCCTTATAGGTGTAAAGCTTTGCAGAAAAGAAGGTTTTCATGGAGGTTTTCACATGTATTTTTTATGTTCTCAATGCACACAACCATGTATCTTTCCCACTGCCAAATTCCCATTAATGAGGGGAGACTCCCCACTGACAAGCTTTTACAACAAATTTTGACCTTATGGCAGAGGTCCCCACAGTGGACCTATAATTTCTCACTGTTTCTCACTGTTGGGAAAAGTAAAGCAGTGACACCTGGTAACATCACTGCAATGGGGGAACATTGGATTTCCTGCCATTAGTTACCAGAAAAAATAAAGCTTGTTACTCCTGTCCTGAGTTCTGTTTCTTGGTCACAAGATAGATGCACAGAATAGCAGGGACAGGATTTTATATAGATAGATAAAGGCTGCTACAAGGCAACTTCAAACATTTTTCTTTGATATTTAGAGCTACAGAACTCTAACCTCAGATGATTTTTAAAACATCACATTTGAAAGAATGACTCAAGTGGGTACAATCCAGTTGTATAGTATTATTTTCAAATGGAAAGAGATTACTGCAGTTTACCATTTACATCTAAACCAGTAATAATATTAATAGGTGGCAAAATTAAATACCTGAAAAGAGAAATTTATATTGGGGCTATACAGAGAAGGAAAAAATAAAAAAGGCAAAACAAATAAGCCATTATTCCTGCTCTAAATACATGCAGGCAGGTATCTGGGGTTAGGCTTGCCAACTGCTTCTGATCATTTCATTTTTCAGTAAATTACTTTATATGGGTTAAATTCTTATGTCTACTTAATGCAGAAATAGGCAACAGATATCTTCCAGATGTTTTGGACTAAGTTAGTTTCAACAGGGGGCAAATGATGAAATGTGTATCACACTGTCATTATGTAATTCTACTCCTTATGTGTTTGCATGCAACATGTCACAAAAACAAGATTATGGAGCTTATGTTGTGATGTTATAACATTTTGTTGTGTTTGTGTTATTTTGGTTGGGAACAGATGCCTGTGCAACAGTCATAACTGACAAATAGAGACAATTACAACTCCAATTACAATTGTAATTGTGGAGTTGTAATACAAAAAAAAATTAGAGTTCACCAAATTGTCAACACTTTGTCTAGCTCACTGCAATAGAGATGTCTTGTTTATTTCAGGTCATTTAACTGAGGATTGAAGGATTGAACAAGAGCCTTTGCATATGTAAAACAGGTGCTCTACTGCTAGGCTATGTCTCTTCCACAGAAAAACCTGAAGCAGCTGCTTTGGCTGTGGCTGATGGACCTCTGTTAGCCTTTCAAAGAGGAAGAAGGCAATGTGAATACAGATGTAACCCAACTTAAGTCAATTAGAGGAGATCTGGTTTCAAACACAATCCTTCACCGATGCTCTTTAAAATGAATAATAAGAACAATATTGATGACTTGTACTACCAAACAGTATTGAATACAAATACTGCAGTTTAGTTAACATTGTCAAAAGATTGCCTTTCTCTTTGGTGATGTTTGGTGAGAAACATCTGATATACAGAGAAATATACCAATGGAAATGCAATTTAAGATGAACAGAAGAGTAGCTCATATTGGTTCAGTCTGTGTTTAAGATGACCTTTACTATGTATGTACCCATGATTTTTTGGAGAATATAGTGTGAACCAGTTATACACAGATACAGTTACATGACCCAAACATTGATATTTGGGATTGCAGTGGTAATTTTTTTTTTTTTTTTTTGGTGATCATAAATTTTATCAATTACTATTGTGGCTGTGGCAGTTCCCACAATCCTCCTCTACATGCAAATTGTACCCTTTGAGATAGTGCAGTCTTTTGTATGGGTATATGTGAACCTGCAGTAAAAGTATAAGAAGTCTTACGATATCTTAAAGTCTAACTAGGAATCATATGCTGCAAAACTGCTGGCGCAAGCGTAAGAAAGAAGAAAAAAAAGATATTCAATTGGTGTTTAAAAGGCTTATTAAAAGAAATAACCAGATGCATGTGTATATATATTTGTGTAGTGAGGTTATTTTAATCTTTTAGGTAGCCAAGGATGCTGCTTGTCTTTTTGGCTGAAAGCAGATTTTTTTTTATCATATTAATATAAAATAAATACAAAGGTAATAAATACCTTTCAGCACAAACTCTACCATGGCACATTTACCCTGATGATGCCTTCTTGAAAGGGAGCTCACATTTCTAGTTCTTACAACTTTTCAGCTGTGTGAGAAATATATGGCATTATCTTGTCCTGTTACTAAGGAAGAAAGTGCTTATTCTGTGTATTAAGTATAACGTACACAAAATACCATTTCTGAAGCACAGAAGGTTACATTAAGAAGGCAGCCTTAACTTTTAGGCACATTACAGTAATCAAGGTAACAGTGCTGCAGTAATCAAGGTAACAGTGCTGCAGTGATCACATTCAGAATTTTCAGTGTAGTTAAATGAGCAGGAAATGCTTTTATCCTGGCCTAGCTGACAAGCCATTCTTGGCAGAAGCTCTTCTTTCTGTTCATGGTGTGATGAAACAGCCTAAAAAAAGGAAAGAAAAGAAAATGAAAATGTTATGTTCCACCTCAAAAATCTCTGTCAGTAAGTGATCTGCTTATGATGTCATCATTGATATACAAATAGTGATGACTAAAAATCTTAGAATTTACCATTCATTTTTGAGGCTTTTTGAAACGGATTGGCTGAAATTAAATCCATATAGAGATCAACAGACTACAGTGATGCAAGTCTACTGTCCCCAAATAACACCGTCATGTCAAACTTGCTTTTAACACTTGACATATCTCAGTGATGTCATGTTTTTTATTTCCCATCCAGCAAACCTGGTGCTGTTGACAGGAACAAAGAAACAGAACAAGGTGATAGGGCAACATGATACAAATATTAAAGTACTGGTGGTTAGATGAGAATATGGGAATTCTGTTTTGACAATACCATTTATTGTTTAACATGCAATTTGTAGCTGGTATTTTTAACAAAATGAAAGCTTTTGTAACTTGAAACTGCATACTTTCTACTCAATCTTCTATGCCATTAGGCCTCTGAGTTCTTAGAGTTTTGTAATATTTTAGGTATGTTACAAATTTGTATGGGCTGACACACAAGGCCAATTTGCAACATTTAAAAAAAATTACCGTATTTTTCCGACAATAAGACGCCCCCATGTACAAGACGACCCCCACTTTTCT